AGGCTCCGTGCGAGCAGGGAGCCCGATGCAGGACTCAATCCCAGGACTCCAGGATTACGACCTAGCCAAAGGCAGAGGCTTAGCCAACTAAGCCACCCAGGTGCTCCCCTATTGTACGTTTTAAAGACCTGGCTCTGAAATTTTATTTGATAGCATTTGATGCAAAATTGAGGCCACTAGACCTCAGTGTCACTGATAGAAATCAGGGGGAATGAAAATATATTTTTTTAAGTTTATTTTTTTTTAGTCATCTCTACACCCAGGGTGGGGCTCGAACTCATGACCCTGAGATCAAGCATGGCATGCTCTTCCGAATGAGCCAGCCAGGCACCCCCAAAATATTTTATTTTCTTCAAAGAGAAAGAAAGGGCATGTAGCCCTTTCCTGCTACTTAACCAAGGGTTTTCAAACTAAGTCCCCAGGGAATCCTAGGGGTTCCACACACGCCCCCTGCTTTTCACCCAACCTGTAGTCAGAGCTGCCCGCTTCTGTGCCCCTCAAAAGATTTTATCTGAAAAGTTCTGAGACTAAAGGTTTGAAGGATCAGAGCTCTTAACAAAATGACTCTTGCTGTGTCCCGAACTACCTTGTATCCAAGCTGTGTCTGGGGGTCTTCAAGGAAGGGAGTCTGCGAAATTTGTTAATGCCAACCAGGCTCTCTGCCTTCCTGCCCACTGGTTTTTTTTTCAGTTCCTCAAAGCTGGTGCACGCTGTCCTTCCCCAGGGCCTTGGGACAAGCAGTTCCTTCCACCCAGAATACCGTCCCTGACTGGTTCTCCTGCTTAACTCTTGCTCACCCCCAGCTTCCGCTCAGCCATCTCTTCCTCCATAAAACTTCCCTGGATTCTTCCACCAGGGGCCACATTCTTCTGCCAGAAGTTCTCCCAGAACTCTGTTCCTCTCCTCTGGAGCAGAGATGACTGGTGGAGTGTGAGGCCAATTGAGCTCTCTCTTGGTGTCTGTCTTCCTCCGACAGACAGGGCAAAGTGCGTGAGGGCTGGGGGGTCCCCTTGCTCCCCACTGCATGCACAGTGCATAGCATTGCATCCGGCACATAGTAAGTGCTCAATAAATATTGCCTACACTTTGGCCCTGTGTACACAGTTGTATTTACATAGGGATTTCACACATACATGTCACTTTCACACACGTCACTGAAATAGAGTATGCGTAAAGAAAATTGTGCAGATGGAAGTGTATGCTCAAATTTTCACTAGCTTCCCAATTTCCCTCACTCCCCAGGGAAGTTCCATCCTCATCTCCAACAGCATAGATTAGTTGTGCTTTTTTTTTTTTTTTTTTTGAGAGAGAGAGAGAGCAGCTGTGTGTGTGTGGAGTGGGGAGAGGGGAGGTGCAGAGGGAGAGGGAGAGAATCCCAAGCAGGTTCCACACCCAGCACAGAGCCAGACACAGGACTCGATCTCAGGGCCCTGAGATCATGACCTGAGGGAAAATCAAGAGTCGGATGCTCGATCAACTGAGGCACCCAGGCACCCTGCCCTGGTCCTTTTTAATAAATGGATTTGTGCGGTATGTTCTTTTCTTTTCTGTGTCTGGATTCTTTTGCTCACAGTTATGTTTTGTGAGAATCATCCAGACTGTTACATGTAGCTGCAATTCATACATTGTGATCTCTCATTCACACTCATTGCTATTGACCGGGAGTGGACAATTTTTTTTTTTCTGTAAAGGGCCACATGGTAGCCGGGTTCACCTTTGCAGGGCATAGTCTCTGTCACTGACCTGGGAAAGCAACCTCAGACCATCTATAAAAAAGTAGGCATGGCTATGCTCTAAGAACACTTTATTTATGGGCACTGGGATTTCAATTTCATGTACTTTTCATATGTCACTGTTAAAATTTTTTTCCAATGATTTAAAAATGTACAAACTTTTTGGCAGCTCCTCGAAAAGTTAAGCACAGAATTGTCATATGATCCAGCAATCCCACTCCTGGATATATACCCAAGGGAACTGAAAGCAGGGACTCAGAGATGCTCAGAGATGCTCATACATTCCAAGGTTTACAGGGGCATCGTTGACAAGAGGTGGAAACAACAAAGCAAGTTGCAACTAACAGATGAATGAATAAATAAAATGTGGTGTGTCCCTACAATGGAATATTTGCCATAAAAAGGAATAAAGTTCTGCCCCATGCCACAACATGGATGAATCTTGCTAAGTGAAAGAAGACAGACACAAAAGGATAAGTATTGTGTGATTCGACTTACTTGAGGTGTGAACAGGCAAAATCATAGAGACAGAAAGTAGATGGTGGGAGCCAGGGGGTCTGGCTAGGGGGGATAGGGAGTTAGTGTTTCGTGGGGACAGTGCTTCAGTTTGGGAAGATGAGAAAGTTCTGGAGATGGTTGGTGGGGATGGTTGCACAACAATGTGAGAGTACTTCATGCCATTGGACCCTACACTTAAAAAATGGCTAAAATGGGGCACCTGGGTGGCTCAGCCAGTTAAGCGTCTGCCTTCGGCTCAGATCATGATCCCGAGGTTCCGGGATCGAGCCCTTCATCAGGCTCTGTGCTCAGCGGAAAGTCTGCTTCTCCCTCTGCCCCTCCCCACCCCTTGCTATCTCTCTCTGTCCATCCCAAATAAATAAATAAAATCTTTTTAAGAAATGGTTAAAATGATAAGTTTAATGTGAAATGTATTTTGCCACAATTTTAAAAATCCATTTGTATTAAAAACAAAAACCAAAAAAACCCCCCAAAATGTAAAAACCATTCTTAGCTCATGGGTTGCACAGAAATAGACAGTGGGCCAGATTTGTCCCATGGGCTGCAAGTTTGCCACCGTCTGTTGCAGATTGTTCCACTGAAGGAAAAAAGAAAACATGATTTTATCCATTCTATTGTTGATAGGCATTTGGCTATGAACATGGTATGCAGTTCTCACTGCGTATTTATTTATTTTGGGGGTGTTATTTTGTTATGTTCCCCGCCCCTGCGTGCAAACTCTTATTTCTTTGCCTGTCCCTGGGACAGGGGCTTCTGGAATCATCCCCCAGGACTACCTCCTGGACCAGTCCCAGCCCGGATGTGAGAAGGGTGGGCTCTTGAATGGGGAAACTGTAGCAGGGAAGGGGGTGGGCAGAGCTTCATACCTCTGGGCCCCTAGAGTCTGCCCTGGGGGCTTCCTCTTGGTCCCGGATGTGGGAGGGGATGGCCAGGGAGCCAAGACACTCAGCTAAGACAGGAAGCTCCACATCCAGCAGAAGCCTTAAAGAGGGAGATGTGGCAGAGGCATGAAATCAGTGCCCGAGATTTGGCCTGCTGAGTCCGTCCTGAGGGTAAGCGACAGCTGCCCCTGTTCAGCCCAGAACCCCTGCCCGAGGGGGCCTTGGCAAAGCCGGGACGCCAGCCCCGTCCCCCCCCAGGGACCCAGGATTCCATATCCCACCTGCTCTGGAGGCTTGACCCTCCCCAGATGAGAAGGGACTGACCCGGCTGTTGGTTCCGTCTTGCAGCACCTGCCGGATGAAGGCTCTTGCCCTCCTCCTCCTCCCTGTCCTGGGGCAGCTGGTGTGTGGCAAGTCTCTGTGTCCAGTGGATGAAGCCATCAATGAGAAGATCCAGGATGGCACCAGATCCTTAAGTGAGGACCCTCACTTGCAACCTCAGCAGGGGCCTCAGAGGCCCCCTCTAATTCCTGACATGGAGCAGCCATCAATTCAGCCCCAACCAGAACCAAACCTCCACCCCAAACCCAAGCCAACCCCAGCCCCCATCCAGCTCCATCTTTGGCAGAAGCTCCAAATCCTCCTTCCTCCAAAACACCCATCTCAAGACAGAACCTGGGAGGTGATGAGCTTCCCATCTCATGGCTCTCCACCAGGGCCTGGCCCACCTGGGCCTTCCTCAGGAGAGTTTTCTTGACCCCCTGCCTATCTCCAAACCACCAGGGCCAAGGCCACATGAGAACAGGGGCAGCTTGGTCTCAGGGCTTCCTTCCCTCCTCCCTCCCGCAGTTCTTGAGACAAGGAGGAACTTTGGCCTGAGCTGCCGGAGCGTCACCTCCAGGGGGGACCTGGCCACCTGCCCCGCAGGTGAGTACCGAAGACCTTTTCCAGGCTCTCGCTTCTGTTCCCAGCACCCAGGAACCCCTCCCCCTAAGTCCAGCCTCTATTTCTTGAGTCAACTTCCCCAGGGTGCTGGTCTGCGGCCCCAGCTCCGGGACAGCTTAGGACACTGGAGCCCAGGCCCCCAGCCGCCCACGCAATCCGGCTCCCATTCATTCCTTGGCTTCCCCCCGGACCCCCAGGCCGGTAGCCTCCCGCCCGCGTCCAGACTCCCTCCGCTCCGCCCGCAGGCTTCGCCGTCACCGCCTGCACTTGTGGCTCCGCCTGTGGCTCGTGGGACGTGCGCGCCGAGGCCACATGCCACTGTCAGTGCGCGGCCATGGACTGGACCGGAGCTCGCTGCTGCCGCTTGCAGAGCACCGCCTGAGGTCCCCGGCGTCGCGGTGCGGGCTGGGGGGCGTGGCCAGGCCTCGGAGGGGCGGGGCTGGAAATAAACCCTGAGAAGGTGAGGGTCTGGGCGCGGCGCTGTCTTTTGTGGGGGGTGGGGGACTGAGCTGGCGTCTCCGAAAAGAGCCGGGCACGCAGACGCTGGAGGGAGGCGGTGGCCGGGGCCGCCCGTGACTTTCCTCTGCCCATCCCTTTCCTCCCACGTTGTGCCTCCCCCCACCATCTCCGAGAACAAGGCCTCTACTTCCTCTGAGGACCCTCACACGCAAGGATCATGACCTCCCTCAGGAGGGGAAGTGTTACCTTTAAGGCCACCTTGACGGTCACCCTCGGGTCTCTGGCCTTCCAGGAAATCGCTGGGTCATTCTGCCCCAGCCCCTACAATGAGGCTTCATTCGGGGTCAGGGTCTGGATAGGACAGGGACCCCGCCCCCCTCACTCTGCATACACTTCAGGGCCCCAAGCCTCCAGGAGCCCCAGGGTCAAGGTGGACCCCTGGGTCATCTCTCAGCCCAGAGCCCTGAGCCGAGATCCCTCACTCCCCAACCTCATGGAGCTGTCAGCAGGGCACAGGCAAAGCTGGGTCGTGGACAGGAAGGAATCTTCACAGGAGCAAGCTGAGAACTCTCACCTGAGGCCACGAACCGCAAGTTCACGTTTTCACACGTGCAGCGCAGTTTCGAGTAGTTACAACCTGCAACACACAGAGGCACGTACGCCCTCACGGACACCTGAATATGAAAACGCAGGGCAGCGTACTTGTTCGCCCTTTGGTGTATTCCTGGCGCTCAGAAGAGAGCATGCCACATAGTAGATGCTCAGGAAATGTCTGCTGAATAAATAACCACATACATACGTGGATACACCATCCAGGTGCACACACACATACATGTACACACACGACAACCCAGTTACTGTGGTCACACAGGGACACACCATGGCCACAGACACATACATGGGCACAAGAAAGCACCACTGAAACACACAGGCATGGCCATGGAAGGAGGAACATAGACACACAGACGTGTAAACCCTGGACAGAGTCTCTTGCTTCTGACCTCGAGTCCCCATCCCCGCCTGGAAGACATCAGTCCCTGTCTGAATTCTGACCTGAAGACGAGTCACCTGCAACACTTACACAGCTTCCTGGGAGGCACAGATCCAGGTGATTCAGGGTCCAGTTCCCTGGGAATCCTAACCCAGGGGTCTTAAAAATCCAGCCCCTGCGAGATGCAGACACAGATTTCAGAACACTTGGTGCCCAGTCTTGAAAGGGACCCCAGACTCAAATGTCCCAGCCCCCACGAGCACACTGGAGAACAGGTGATGGGGTGGGATCCTGGTTTTCAAGATGTTTGGGACTCTCCCGGAGGGAGGCAGTGGCAGGGCGGGGGGCACCCGTGACTTTCTTCTGCCCATCCCTCTCCTCCCATGTTGTGCCCCCATCTCTGCCACGCATCCTCTATGACAGCACAGCCCCCTGTCTGATTCCGGTAGCCATGAGCTGAGATCACAAACTCTCCTCTTGCCCCTGGAGCCCACCCATACCCCAGTCCAGAGATTCCCCTCCTAATTCCTCCCTCCTAACCCCACGTGGGTTGGAGGTGGGACCCCATGGGGTTGAGGTGGGACCACTGAGTCAGAAGTGTGTTGAGGAGCAGAGAGGGTGGGTCTAGAACCTTGCCTGTCCCACCCCCTCACTGATGTCCCCAGACTGATTGGAATGCCTGTGTATCTCCAAGTCCCACTCAATTGTCCCCCTATGTCTGGACCCCAAGAAGGTCCTCTTCAGAGTCCTCAATTCCAGCACAGTCATTCTCCTGTCCCAGAGTGCAGACTTGGATAGGCAAGCCCCCTTCTCAAGCCTCCATTTTCTCACTTGCCAACCGCCCAGCCCTCCTGAGGTAGCCAAGAGTCTTGCAGTTGCAAGTGTCACAAACCCTACTGCAAGTAACTTGAGCAAAAGTAAAAGGAAGTTTCTGGGGGCGCCTGGCTGGCTCAGTCAGTCGGGCATGCAACTCATGATCTCGGGGTGTGGGTTTGAGCCCCATGTTGGGTGTAGAGATGACTTAAAAATAAAATCTTTTAAAAAGAAAAAAAAAGAGGAAGTTTCTGGATATGTAACTGAGAAGCCCAGGGTTAAAGATTGACTTATTTATTTTAGAGAGAGTGCAGGCGGGGTTGGGGGGGGAGGCGCAGAGGGGGCAGAGGGAGAGGAAGAGAGAGTCTGCACTCAGCACAGAGCCTGATGCAGGGCTCGATCTCACAACTCTGAGATCACGGACCTGAGTCGAAACCAAGAGTCGGACTCTTAACGGACTGCACCGAGAGGCCCAGGGTTAGAATGACAGATTCAGGTTCGGGTGGATCTAGCCCTCAAATGATGTCTCCAGGATCCGACTCCCTCTCAGGTCTGCTTTCCTATGCTGGCTTCTCTCTCAAGCAGGTTCTCCCCATCACAGCTCCAAGCTAACATTTTCCCAGTCTGAGAGCCCCAGTGGAGAGAAAAAAAAAAAAGAGGAAATGCCCCAAAAGTCGCAGTCCTGAGTTTCATGGGCTGAATCTGGCTCATGTGCCCACCCCTGTGCCAAATCTTAGACTCTGATTGGGTGGGCCTGGATCATGTACCCACTCTAAACCAATCATGGGTTTATGGTTAGCTGTCCTGGAGACGCATATTCTTTCTTAAAAGAGAATTGAGACTGTTACCCTAAGACATGACCTGGTCGAGAAGCCTCACAGAGCCCTCTTGAGCCACTGTGATTGCTCGTGGGCCTCCAGTTTCACAACTGCTATTTTGTCCAGAGGGCTGGATGGAGCCTGGTCTTCGCTTCAACCGACCTACAGAAATGTGCAGTGCTGTGGCCCCACCCCCTGCACCTGTCCATCACAGCAGAGCCAGCTGCCCATTGGTCCGTCTCCTCTGTGACGGTTACATCAGGGGAGGGTCGAATCTCTCTCAATTGCGGACTTCTTTCTAAAATCAGAGAGGAGTTGGCATCAAAACACTGTTAAAGCAGTCATCCTTGAGCAGACAAGGTCGGCAATAGTTTAGAAAACAGAGCATTATTCTCATCAAACCTTGGGGGACCATTCCAAAGTTATCTCAAATTTAATCACATATTTAAAAGCTAAAACATAGAAAGTCTTTTTAAAGGGCGCCTGGGTGGCTCAGTCAGTTAAGTGTCTGCCTTCAGCTCAGGTCATGATCCCAGGGTCCTGGGATCCAGCCTGGCAGGGGATCCCCACTGAGCAGGGACCCTGCTTCTTCTCCCTCTGCCACTTCCCGCCCCCCCCATCGTCTCTCGCTTATGCTCTATCTCTCTGTCAAATAAAAAAATAAAATCTTTTTTAAAAAGTCTTTTTAATTATCTTTTACTTACTTTTTCCAAAGGGAGAGAACCATAATGGTCTAGACCAGCGCTGTCCAATATGACAGCCACCAAACACTTGAAATGTCCCGTGAGTGTAAATCACGTTTGATTTTTGAAGATTTAGTACCAAAAAAAAGTAATATATCTCAATTTTTTAGTATCGTCTACATGCTGAAGTGATAATTTTGAGGGTATATTATGTTAAATAAGATGCATTATTAAAATTAATTTAGCCTGAAAAAAGAATGTACGATGGAACATCATTCGACCTGAAAAACGAAGGACATTCTGACACAAGCTACAACATGGGTGAACCTTGAGGACGTTATTATTTTTTTTTAAATATTTTATTTATTTATTTGAGAGAGAGAGAATGAGAGACAGAGAGCATGAGAGGGGGTAGGGTCAGAGGGAGAAGCAGGCTCCCCGCTGAGCGGGGAGCCCGATGCAGGACTCGATCCCGGGACTCCAGGATCATGACCTGAGCCGAAGGCAGTCGTTTAACCAACTGAGCCACCCAGGCGCCCCTTAAGGACGTTATGTTAAGTGAAATAAGCCAGTCATGGAAGTCCCTTTACATGAGGTCACTAGAGTGTCAAGTTCACAGAGACAAAAAGAATGGTGCTTGCCAGGGGCTGGGGGCAGGTGGAAATGGGGAATTGGTGCTTAATGGGTATAAAGTTTTAGTTTTGCAAGATGAAAAAAAAATTAATTTAGCCTGTCTCTTTTTGTCTTTTGAACGTGGTTGCTAGAAATTTTTAAATTAAAGATGTGGTTTACATTATATTTCTACCAGAAGGCACTGTTCTAAACTTAAAGAGAGAATTCCCTACAAACTTTGTCTTGTTTTTATCTCCAGTTTTCAAGGTCACAGACACAAAGAGAGCTTGAAGACATCTAGACAAAGAGCAGACATGTGAATGCATGAATATGGATATTTCTCTGGGGCAAACACGTGTAGAAGCCTGCCAACGGGCAAGCCATGTGAATATGTGAGCAGATGTATCACGGTTTCCGGGAGTGTGCATGAGTGTGGGTAGGTGAGCAGATGCGTGGGTGAGAGTGAGTGTTTCCAAGTGTTTCTCTGTCTGGGGACCCAGGGAGAGGGGACACCATGTCCAGCGTTAGGTCAAGGCGTGCATCTGGTTCTGTCTCAGATATGGGTGGAGCTCAAGTGGTTGGTCCCCTTGCCTCACATCCGTTCCTTTCCTCCACAGGGCCTTGAAGAAGTAGAATTTCTTGGGGTAGAGCTGAGGGGTAGGACTGGGGCAGGGGGTAGGACGATGTGGGAGACCTAGGAATCCTGCCTCCAAGCCCAGATACCTCAAACCTAAAGGGTGGGACTCCCAGGGGCCTAGATTCTCTCCTGAGAGGGGCAGGGGACAATGTTCATTTGGGTAGACACATACATAGCTTGTGTCCTTTTGTGTCCGTTTGTGACCATCCTTTAGAGTTTTTAAAATTTAATTATATTGAGTATAACTGACTTGTAACATTGTGTAGGTTTGAGGTATACAGGTGTCGATTTGATACATCTGTATATTGCAACATGATGACCACCATAGCATTAGCTAACATTTCTGTTGCTGGTTCCTGATCATGCTGTTTCCTGTCTCTGGGTCTATGGGCTTCTCTGCTTGGCCCTCCATGAGACCTCTGGTCTCCTAAGACCCTCTTGATCTGGGGGGGGGGGCGGTGAGGATGCCCCAGGGCTGGAGGGTCCTGGGTCACTGAAAAGAGGAGACTGACCTCTCCTCCCCCTACCCCCAACCCAGAGATTTCCTCATTTGCCATGACACCTTCCGGTGGGTGGGGATGTGTGTGAGCAAACTGGCAGACTGGGAACCATGGAGTCTGAGGAAATCTACATGAAGCAGGAGGTCAAGATGCAGGCAGCAGCCTTCAAAGACAAGAAACAGAGGGCCCCAGCCAATAAGGAAGGTTAGGCACCTCAGGGTGGGGAGGGGAGAGGTCAGGTGGGAGAGATTGGGATGGGAGAGATAAGGGGCTGAAAGTGGGGTCACAGGGCTCCTTCCCCTACCCCAAAATGTATGTGTGCATGTGTATCCCCCAAACGATCACGCACGCCCTCTCCACCTAACCAAGAAGCAGATCTTGTTTTCCCCATTCCTTATCTTTTATCCCCAGAAATTTGTTGTGTGCTGGGTTTTGGTGAGCCAAGATCTCTGAGCCCCCTTCCTACCCCCACCCCCGCCCCAGAGCTCCAGGCAGGTTTCCACTCTCACTGACCCACCCACAGGTGCAGATAACCCTGACTATGAGAATATCACCTTGACCTTCAGAAACCAGGACAAGCTGAAGGGCAGCCATTCACCCCTCAAGAATCAGGGCAAGCAGCCATCTGCCAGCGCACACTGCACAGCCTTGGGAGGGGCCCATGGTAGGGCATCATGGGAACCAGGAGCACCATGTGGAGGTCGGGGTCAGTGGTGTGGGGTGTGGTGTCATCAGGGCTTGTGTGTTACAGTCGGTGGGGGGGGGGAGTTTCACAGGTGGGGGTGATGATGTTGGTGGTGCTGGTGTTGGTGGAAGTGTTGGTGAAAGTTTGGGTGATGGTGATGGTGGAGAGGTGACCATGTAGTGGATCCGGAAGGAACCACCTAGACAGCGCCGATGACGGTGCTGATGAGACCTGTTGCTGGGGACAATGCTGACAATGGTAGGCGCTGATGTTGATGGGTGTTGGTGACAGCTACTGTTGACATTGTGAGTGCTGGCAAAGGGGATGGTAAGGGCAGCATGATGATGACAGCCTGAGGGACAACTGCTGGTGGCTCTGGTCAGTGGGCATGTTGGTGGTCACAGTGGCTATGGAATTGGGAAGAGCAGGTGCAGGTGACAGAGTTTCTGATGATGTTAGAGTCAGTGCTGATGGTTTGGGTGGTGGTGTTGGGCCCTGGAGGTCACCTGTCTTGCCTCTACCCCAGCCCCAACCCTGTCTAGGCCGCCCTCAGAATCTGCCCAGGTTCCCCGTTGTCTGCACCGAGCCCTCATGATCCTGTACATCCTCCTTGCCCTGTCCTGCATCATCCTCTTGGCCTTGGTCTTGGCAAAGAGTGAGTAGGGTTTTTTCGTTTCAGGGTTTTTGTTGTTGTTGTTGTTGTTGTTTTTTGTTTTTTTGGTGGGGGCTGGGGCAGTGTGGAGGGGGACCTCAGGAGGTGCGCGGCCCAGTGTTTCCACCCTGTCTCCCTTCTCCCTCACTCCTCTCCCTTCCCCCACCCTTGTTCCCAGGCCTACAGAACTGGGGGCACCTCAAGGCTTTTCCTGCCTCCTCTGCCCCTCCTCCTGAACAGATTCTGAGATGTCCCAGGAGTTGCTGGTCTTGAAAAGGGAGCTCTGGAACAGTGAGGGTGGGACCTGGGGGAGGCCCAAGGGGTCGGGGTGCGGGTAAGGAGAGCAGCAGTGATACGGACATGCCCACTTCATGCCTCAGTCTCCAAATCGGTGCGGGAGTGTCAGGAGGAGCAGAATCAGGGCTGGAGCTCCGTCCGGCAGCTCATCATGGAGGCCAAGCAGGACATTAACGTGGTCAAGAGAGATGTCCAGTCCGAGAGTGATAAAATGAAGACGTTATTAACAGGTGCCGTTGCAGACCTTCACTGGGTGGGATTCATCTCATGCTGGGTGCTGGGAATTGGGGGGAGGGGACAGCAGGGGTCCCATTCTCCCAGCGCACAGGGGGGTTTAGAGGCATGATGGATGTCACCCTCTGAGTCACTCAGGGGATATTTAAATGCTGCTGGGAACACCAAGTACACGGGCTCCGCAGCACCCCAGACTGGGGGTTGGGCAGGGAGGAGGCTTCCAATGAACATGGGGGCCTTGTGTGAGACCCCACACCAGATTTCTCCTGTCCTCCTGCCCCCAGACATGAACCAAATCAAGAACAAGTTACAGGAAATCTCCAAGGCACTGGAGACGAAGCCAAGCTCATGTAAGTTGGGCCTGGGGAGGTGGATGAGGTGGGAGCCACAGACGTGGCCCCAGTTTCCCTCCTGGGGGAGGGATCTGCCTGACCTTGGGTCTCCATCCTGCCCAGAAACCTCAACAAATGAGAAGACATCGAAGACCCAGCTGCACCTCCCAGTGAAGCTGGCCACATGTGTGATCATGGTGTGTTGTGAGCATAATGCAAGACACAGTGGTTGGCTGTGTCAGCAAGGACCCCAAAAGTGTGTCAGTGTGAGTGTGGGTGTGGGCAACACGGGTAGCACTGTGAGCACGTGTGAGTATCCGCGGTACGTTGTGCATAAGTGTGTCATGGCGGTGCTGTGCGTGGGGCACCCCGCGTATCACTGTAATTGTGGGTGTTGCAGTGTGTGCCCTGTGCCGATGTGAGTGTGACTGATTATGCAACCGAGGGGGTTCGGAGCATGTACTCATGTATGTTCCTTTGTTTCTGCACTCACAGTTTGTGATTTGTGACGATAAAGGCCTATGCAAAAGAATGTGGCTTTTAGATCTCATACTGGGAGCACCTGGGGGGCTCTGGGGACCTGGTGGGGGAGGGTCTGGCAAATGTTGGGGGATGGGGAAAGGCACACAGTGAGCCCGTGGACATGATACCAGGAGCCCTGGGACACGAGGTTGTGTGGGAATGAATGCCCCGAGTTGGTCTTTGTGTGTCCATGAACGTGTACCCAGGGAGTAACCCAGTCTCCGTGCCCAAGAGTGAGTGCCTGAGATGGACGGTGTCTCCCTGTGTGCAGGTGGGCCCACAGATATGTCTGAGCCCTTAAGCAGGTACCCACGGGCGTAACTGTGCTCCTGAGTGTATATGCCCACTGAGCGTGCGGCCGTGAGTGCACATGCCCCTAAGTGCCCTAGGCCCCTGGTTCATGGATGCATGTCCCCCCCTTTTTTTTTTTTTTTTTAAGATTTTATTTATTTTTTGACAGAGAGAGAGACAGTGAGAGAGGAAACACAAGCAGGGAGAGTGGGAGAGGGAGAAGCAGGCTTCCTGACGAGCAGGGAGCCCGATGCGGGGCTCGATTCCAGGACCCTGGGATCATGACCTGAGCCGAAGGCAGACGCTTAACGACTGAGCCACCCAGGCGCCCCCAGATGCATGTCCCTTAAGAAGAACATGTACCTGAGTAAATGCACGTGTCCCTAAGACAAGAGAATGTGTTTAAGGCACAGGTGTGCCTCTAGGACAAACAGACATGTGTGCCCCTCAGACAGACACGTGGGCCCATCGTCAAATGTGTGCCCCCAACCGGTGACCATCCGCGCTACCGTTTGTCTGAGAGCGAGCCAACCCAAGCGAGCCCGGCCCCCGGCCCCAGGGCCACACCCCTCTTTCGGGCTCCCGGGACACGCGCGCCCCCTGGCGGCCGCTCTCTGGAATCTCCGCCAGCGCGCGCGCCCCGCCCACGAGCCCGTACCGCCGCAGCGCCTGCGCACTCAGGACCTTTTACGGCGCCGTAAAGCAACTCGGCCAAACCGACGGCCGTAGTACGCTGGTGAGACCCCACCCGCCCGCGACCCCTATCCGCGCCGGGTCTTGCTCGCACCGGGACCCCCAGCCTCCCGCGCGCCTGGGGATCCTGGGCTGCGGTCTCGGCGTCCGCGATCCCGGGTCCGTCCGCTTCGGCCCACGCAAAGGGCCCGTGAGGAGGGTGGGTCCCTCCCCGGCCCCTCTGTCGGGTCCACGCTGACTCGGGGGTCTCGGGGCTCCGGCCTTTCCGCGGCTTAGGTTACTGGTTCCCATCGCAGCCCGGTGTGTGGGGGGGGGCAACACTCCCCCTCCCATCTCGCGCGCTGGGCCCTCCCGGTGTAGACGGATGCGCACCTGGGCGGCGTCTTGGAGCCCCTGGACTCCCCCCGGCGCTGGTCTTCCCATTCCCCACGCAGATCTCGTTGGGGGCAGTCCCAGCATCCCCAGACCCCTCCGGCCTCTTACCCCTTCCTGCTCAGTGGGAACGGGGTTCTCAGCTCCTTCTCCCGACTCCACCCTTGGCAGCGGCTTCACACAAGAGTGGGCGAGGGTCGGCGGGGGGGAAGAGAGGGGCACTCCCATCCGCTCCTTCCCACCCTCGCCGTAGGTCCGCGTCGTGGCGGTCTCAGTGCTTGGTGCACTAGGATGGGAGGATCACAGCGCCCCTCCTGGCTCCCCCAAACCCCGGGTCTCACAGTCCGCCTCCTCCACCTTATCTCCCACTGTCCCGCTACCTTTCTGGAGGGCACGGAGGTGGAGGGGTTCCCAACGCCTTCTCTGCGGCCGCCTCCAGTATTCCTTACAAACGAAGGCCCATCCGCATCTTCAAGGAGGCATGCTTCGTGCAGGCCAGATGGGCGCTGTCAGAGCCCTTTCCTCCTGGCTTGTCCCGTGTCTGTCGTCTGTCCGTCCCCCACGCCCCACACCCTCCAGGCTGTTGCTCTTGACACACCCCACTCCCCTCTCTGGTTTCTTTGGCTTTCCGCAGGGGAGAGGCGGGCAAATTCTTTTCATTTGCAGGAAGTCAGCGCTGTCGCTTCTGGAGGCTTGCGGGGGACAGTGCCCGAGAGACCTCTGACGGCCCCTCCATCCCTGCCCCCTCCCCCATGCAGTAGTTCTCTAGTTGCTCCCACAGGTGGCAGAGGGGGCCCGAAGGTGCTTTTCACGTGGGAGCGGTCACCGGGAACTCGAAGGTTGGGATGGTTTCTGGTCGCGCCTTCTGGTCTCCCTCTCGTGTCCTCTAACCCCCCGCCCCCAACCCTCTCCTCGCCAAAGGTGTAAAGCTACTTTCCCCCTTTCCCTTTACTGGAGGAGGCGCGCTTTACGTGCAGGTGGATGCCCCCTTTCCTTCCTTTCCTTCCTCTCTTCTCTTCCTACATGGGAGGTCAGCAGTGGACGACACAAAACGGGTGGAGGGGGGCAGTGCTCCTCCACGATCTCCGTCCCCTGACACGCGGTTCCTTGTGTCCCCGCAGGGCGGCGGCAGCATGGAGGCGCGCTTCACGCGCGGGAAGTCGGCGCTGCTGGAGCGCGCGCTGGCGCGGCCCCGCACCGAGGTGAGCCTGAGCGCCTTCGCGCTGCTCTTCTCCGAGCTGGTCCAGCACTGCCAGAGCCGGGTCTTCTCGGTGGCCGAGCTGCAGGCGCGCCTGGCCGCCCTGGGCCGCCAGGTGGGCGCGCGCGTTCTCGACGCGCTGGTGGCTCGCGAAAAGGGTGCCCGGCGCGAAACCAAGGTGCTGGGTGCCCTGCTCTTCGTCAAGGGCGCGGTGTGGAAGGCGCTGTTCGGCAAGGAGGCCGACAAGCTGGAGCAGGCCAACGATGACGCCCGCACCTTCTACATCATAGAGCGGGAGCCGCTCATCAACACCTACATCTCTGTGCCCAAGGAGAACAGCACCCTGAACTGCGCCAGCTTCACCGCGGGCATCGTGGAGGCCGTGCTCACACACAGCGGCTTCCCCGCCAAGGTCACGGCGCACTGGCACAAGGGCACCACGCTCATGATCAAGTTTGAGGAGGCGGTCATAGCCCGAGACCGGGCCCTGGAGGGCCGCTGACCCCCGCGGGAGATAAAGAATGCAGAGAGTCGCCCCCTTCCCAGATGTGTCTTGTGTCTTGTGTGGGGGGCCTCACAGATCCACCCGACACCTCGACCCAGGTGCCTGCCTCGGGCTGGTGAGGGAGGCCAAGACCCCAGCATGTTTATAATACAGTGGCGAGGTGGGGGTGGGCCAGGTTCCCCCACCCAGCCCGCGCTTACAGATGGGGCTGGGCGGGAGGCCAGGGGCAGTGTTGGGGGGGAGTCTGCAGAAGGAGTTGAGGTGTTGGCTGGAGGTGGGAGAATGCTGCTACTCTCTGGAATCACAATTAGAGGTCAGGGTGGAGAGCTGTGGGGGGGGTGGGTGGGCGGGGATCAGGCTAAGAGAGCCTCATTTAGACCAGAGGCTGGCTTTTTTCTGTAAAGTCCCAGATAGTGAGTAGTTTCTGCCTAGCACTCTCTGTCCAGCTACCCTGCGGTGTAGACAGCAGTAGGCCAAGGAGTGGGTGTGGCTGTGTGCCTAGAAAGCAGGCAGAGGGTGGTGGCTGACCCTGCATTAGACCCTTGCTGCTCAAAGTGCATCCCACCATGGCAGCATCTGTATCTCCTGGGAGCTGGTCAAAGTGCAGACCCTCAGGCCCACCTCATGCCTGCCAACTGCGGGTCTGCATTTTAGCAAGATCCCCAGGGGAGTCCTGTGTACCTTATTTTGAGAAGCAGTGCTCTAGGACACAGAGTAGGTTGCAACTGGGGTGGCTGGACCCCACCCCCAGAGTTTCAGATTCTGCAGACCTGGGCCGGCTGAGGATTTGCATTTCTAACAAGTTCCCAGGAACTGCTTATGCTCCATGGGCCACACTTGGAGAGAACTCTGCCTCCAGACACGTGGGGAAATGGGTGGGCTCACTTCAGAATCATCTGGGTGCCTACAATATTTTGAAGGTGATATCGATGATCTATGAACACATTTATGTTCCTTGCTTATTTATTTTTAAATTTTTATTTTTTAAAAGATTTTGTATTTATTAGAGAGAGAGAGTGTGCGCACGAGCACAATTAGGGGCAGAGGGAGAGGGAGAAGCAGACTCCCCACTGAGCGGGGAGCCCAACGTGGGGCTCGATCCCAGGACCAGAGATCATGACCTGAGCCGAAGGCAGATCTTTGACTGAGCCACCCAGGCGCCTCTATTTTATTTTTTTTAATTTTTATTAAGATTTATTTGAGAGAACGCATGAGTGCACAAGCAGGGGGAGCAGCAGGCCGAGGGAGAAGCAGGCTCCCCACTGAGCAGGGAGCCCCATGCGGGGCTCGATCCCGGGACCCAGGGATGATGACCTGAACCGAAGGCAGACGCTTAACTGACTGAGCCACCCAGGCGTCCCTTTATTATATTTTTAAAGATTTTATTTTTAAGTAATCACCCAACAGGGGGCTCAAACTCAACAACCCTGATCAGGATTAAGAGCCGGCATGCTCTACCGACCCAGCCAGCCAGGTGCTCTTGTGTGTTTCTTGTTTAAAAAGTAAAATCTGGGGGTGCCTGGGTGGCTCTGTCGTTAAGCGTCTGCCTTCGGCTCAGATCATGATCCCGAGGTTCCGGGATCGAGCCCTTCATCAGGCTCTGTGCTCAGCGGAAAGTCTGCTTCTCCCTCTGCCCCTCCCCACCCCTTGCTATCTCTCTCTGTCCATCCCAAATAAATAAATAAAATCTTTTTAAGAAATGGTTAAAATGATAAGTTTAATGTGAAATGTATTTTGCCACAATTTTAAAAATCCATTTGTATTAAAAACAAAAACCAAAAAAACCCCCCAAAATGTAAAAACCATTCTTAGCTCATGGGTTGCACAGAAATAGACAGTGGGCCAGATTTGTCCCATGGGCTGCAAGTTTGCCACCGTCTGTTGCAGATTGTTCCACTGAAGGAAAAAAGAAAACATGATTTTATCCATTCTATTGTTGATAGGCATTTGGCTATGAACATGGTATGCAGTTCTCACTGCGTATTTATTTATTTTGGGGGTGTTATTTTGTTATGTTCCCCGCCCCTGCGTGCAAACTCTTATTTCTTTGCCTGTCCCTGGGACAGGGGCTTCTGGAATCATCCCCCAGGACTACCTCCTGGACCAGTCCCAGCCCGGATGTGAGAAGGGTGGGCTCTTGAATGGGGAAACTGTAGCAGGGAAGGGGGTGGGCAGAGCTTCATACCTCTGGGCCCCTAGAGTCTGCCCTGGGGGCTTCCTCTTGGTCCCGGATGTGGGAGGGGATGGCCAGGGAGCCAAGACACTCAGCTAAGACAGGAAGCTCCACATCCAGCAGAAGCCTTAAAGAGGGAGATGTGGCAGAGGCATGAAATCAGTGCCCGAGATTTGGCCTGCTGAGTCCGTCCTGAGGGTAAGCGACAGCTGCCCCTGTTCAGCCCAGAACCCCTGCCCGAGGGGGCCTTGGCAAAGCCGGGACGCCAGCCCCGTCCCCCCCCAGGGACCCAGGATTCCATATCCCACCTGCTCTGGAGGCTTGACCCTCCCCAGATGAGAAGGGACTGACCCGGCTGTTGGTTCCGTCTTGCAGCACCTGCCGGATGAAGGCTCTTGCCCTCCTCCTCCTCCCTGTCCTGGGGCAGCTGGTGTGTGGCAAGTCTCTGTGTCCAGTGGATGAAGCCATCAATGAGAAGATCCAGGATGGCACCAGATCCTTAAGTGAGGACCCTCACTTGCAACCTCAGCAGGGGCCTCAGAGGCCCCCTCTAATTCCTGACATGGAGCAGCCATCAATTCAGCCCCAACCAGAACCAAACCTCCACCCCAAACCCAAGCCAACCCCAGCCCCCATCCAGCTCCATCTTTGGCAGAAGCTCCAAATCCTCCTTCCTCCAAAACACCCATCTCAAGACAGAACCTGGGAGGTGATGAGCTTCCCATCTCATGGCTCTCCACCAGGGCCTGGCCCACCTGGGCCTTCCTCAGGAGAGTTTTCTTGACCCCCTGCCTATCTCCAAACCACCAGGGCCAAGGCCACATGAGAACAGGGGCAGCTTGGTCTCAGGGCTTCCTTCCCTCCTCCCTCCCGCAGTTCTTGAGACAAGGAGGAACTTTGGCCTGAGCTGCCGGAGCGTCACCTCCAGGGGGGACCTGGCCACCTGCCCCGCAGGTGAGTACCGAAGACCTTTTCCAGGCTCTCGCTTCTGTTCCCAGCACCCAGGAACCCCTCCCCCTAAGTCCAGCCTCTATTTCTTGAGTCAACTTCCCCAGGGTGCTGGTCTGCGGCCCCAGCTCCGGGACAGCTTAGGACACTGGAGCCCAGGCCCCCAGCCGCCCACGCAATCCGGCTCCCATTCATTCCTTGGCTTCCCCCCGGACCCCCAGGCCGGTAGCCTCCCGCCCGCGTCCAGACTCCCTCCGCTCCGCCCGCAGGCTTCGCCGTCACCGCCTGCACTTGTGGCTCCGCCTGTGGCTCGTGGGACGTGCGCGCCGAGGCCACATGCCACTGTCAGTGCGCGGCCATGGACTGGACCGGAGCTCGCTGCTGCCGCTTGCAGAGCACCGCCTGAGGTCCCCGGCGTCGCGGTGCGGGCTGGGGGGCGTGGCCAGGCCTCGGAGGGGCGGGGCTGGAAATAAACCCTGAGAAGGTGAGGGTCTGGGCGCGGCGCTGTCTTTTGTGGGGGGTGGGGGACTGAGCTGGCGTCTCCGAAAAGAGCCGGGCACGCAGACGCTGGAGGGAGGCGGTGGCCGGGGCCGCCCGTGACTTTCCTCTGCCCATCCCTTTCCTCCCACGTTGTGCCTCCCCCCACCATCTCCGAGAACAAGGCCTCTACTTCCTCTGAGGACCCTCACACGCAAGGATCATGACCTCCCTCAGGAGGGGAAGTGTTACCTTTAAGGCCACCTTGACGGTCACCCTCGGGTCT